AAGTCAATTATGCGTTTGGTACGATACTTCAGTTAATAAGCTTCCAAACGAAGCCAATGAGAACGCGTGATATGAAGGTTTGCACCCATTATTCCAAAAAAAAAAAACAAAAGAAACGCTCCGACCGAATCAATTTTTGTCTTCATCCGATAGGCCGAAGAGAATTCATTGGCGTTTCAATGCGTTAGGCCGAGTTTAGAATCCGTAGGCCGAGTTTGGCGTCAAGAAGCAGTGTTAGACTTTTGACAATATCTCAACGATTGGTTTCTTTTTATCAAATCTTACGGTACGTACGGAAAGGTAAATAAATTTGGAAGCCATCAGTGATAATAACTTTCTGTTTCGTGCTAAACTGCGCTAGATTAAGAAAGACTTAGTGCGGGTTGTGCTTAATAGGCTGGAAATGGGGTAGTTAACCCTATGTCATTTTTGTCTAAATCGAGAAAATGGTGTTACTTGATAGGTGGCACTCTTCTCAAGTCCCCACTGCATTTAATTGCTTAAAGAAAATGATTTGCGAGGATAACGACTTGAAAAACTAGATGGCTAATGTACAATATACATGATAAATTGTCTAATATGTATGATGAGCCGCAGTGTGTTTTTAATTGGGAATGTTATGAGCATCAAGTAAGACGGTCTTATAGTCAAATGGTCACAGGAATCAGGTTGTGAATCCGATGATTCAGGTTCCAAAACTTGTTTTTTTTTATTTCCGGCATAGGAAAATATAGTTATGAACATTTCAAAAGTTAATTTTATCTAGCAAACCTTATTCGACCAATAAAAATGTTAAAGTTGCATTTTTTTCGATTTCGTGCTTCGGGCACATTAGCCAATTTCTCATTTATATGCAGTAAAGGTGTTTTGGTTAATCATTTTAGTCACCTGATATTCCATTGTTGCTTGCTCGTTTTCGACAATCGCCGGCGTCGTCCCCGCCTTCGAGTTTGTATAGTTATATCATTGACTCGATCATAAGCGGTGTGTTGTAATATGAGGGGCTCGGCGGCCTTAGAGCGGCCGTTTTTGCTTACTGAGTAGTCCTCATTTTCACTCTAAATTTACTAGGATGCAAGACAGATGGTTAGCGAATTTAAGAGAAATTCATCATTGTACTTAAGGGAAACTAATAGCATAATATCGGGACCTTAAAAGAATTATAGAAGTATCTCTGAAAAATTCTACATGGACGTCCAACATAATCTCAGCTGAAAGGAACTTTAAAGAGGTTCAGGTGAATCTTAGAAAAAACAAATAGGGTTCTTCAAAGAAGTATAGAGAACTTCATAAAAGTTCAGAGAAGCTTGGACAATGTTTATAATTTAAATCAGAGCACCGCTAATGATTTCAGAACAGCTCACAGAAGTTCGAGGAGCTTTAAATAAATCAGATGTTCAAAAAAGGACTCCACAGATGTTCAAAAAAACTAAAAAAAAATCATGGGTTACATTTTTTTTTTAACTTGGGGCATCAAAATATACATTTGGTAACAAAATTGCTGATATATTCTTATTTGAAGCTAGTGGTTTAAAAAACGGGTCCCACGATATCTCATCACTGCTTTGACCAAATCTACTCCAACCAACAACACAAAAAAGATAAATATAATTTTATGTTTTATTTTTCATATAAAAAATCGTGCAAAAATAACTGTTTGAATTACCCTAGACTGAGAAAGCCATAAAAACGAAATCTCCATAAAACCAGTCGAACAACCAAATCAATTTTTTTTTTATTTTTTTTATTAAAAATAATAAATTTTAAAATCCGGCTTTGTCATGCACACGGGATTCATCCCAAATTTCAGCCAATTTATTCCATCCAATCCAAATCTAGAATAGATTTTCATAAGCCACAAATTTCTAAAAAAAAGGCATATTCTAAGACTCTAAACACCTGTCAAAGCCTCAGAGTCTTATAATTAAAATTGTTCTTAAGATTATAAATGTCTTGCGCCGTATCAAGTTCAATATTTTTAAAATATTTTCTTAATTTAATTTTTCCCTCTAAAATTCGGTATAATGATCCATTCAATCCGATAGCGTTCGGCTATGCGGCTTTAAAAAAATCCACGAATCTGGTACTTACTAAATTCTGGTGCTTTACAATCATAAGAGGACTCGAGCCTAAAAAAAGTTTTTGAAATTATTTCTAATTACCTCGAAAATAACGTGATATTGTAATCATTATTTTTACTAAATATTAAAAACCGCCTATTTATCAATTGTATCTAGATGAATGCGTCATTGGGACGGTACTAATGGATATTTTTGGTTGCTATTGAAAATTTAGTCGATTGCTGAATTTATGTATGGGCCCAAATTAGAGACACTTAGGCCGACATTACATATATTTCCCCTATTTTGAGATTTGAGTCGAAAAACCCGAGAAAAATCGGGAATTTTCAAATAAAAATTTACTGGTCACCCTGAATACGTCTGCATCTCCACGATTGTCACAGAAATAACGTTTTTGTTAGTGGAAAGTCAACTATGAGATGCGTTTAATTCGAAAGTGATGCGATATTTTAAAGCGTGATGTGATCGAATCAGTAAGCAAATACGGTCGCCACTAGGTCAACGAGTCCCTGGATCTCTTATAAAAAAATACGTATAATTTAAACGCTATTCAATTTTCGTACTGTCGTACTTTAGCGGAACTATCTACCTACCCTTTACAGACCTTCATCTAGCTAATAAATTATCACACTAAAGCTTCATGTTAGGTAGCATTTCCAACCAACTCTGAAAATCGTAAACTTCACGTATGAAGTAACATAAAAACGCTATGAAAATTATCGTTAGTTCAACGACACATGAACCTAAATTAAATGTCCAACAAGACTTCAGCAAAACTTGAAGTTAAGTTGCTGTCATTAAAAAAAAACTCTGGACAATGAAAGCACAATATGATATTAGGCTTATGTCGCGGCAATTGAAATCAAAAGTTTTCTTTAGTATCGATTTGTTATCATTTTGTTAACGAAATTTTCTCGGGTACATCAATATAAATCATTACGACTATCGAGTGTTCAAGGCTGGTGACATGCAGCGTTCAAGGCTGCTGGTGGCATGCAGCTAATGCAATGTAATCGATTTGATAAATCATTTGGTAGTGTTAAAACATATATGAAGAAAACAATAGCTACTATATAAGAAATAGATGCGATCCTCGCAACTATTAAATGTGAAGGAGCTTACCCACGATCTTCTATTTAGTAAGCAAAAACGGTTACTATTTGGCCACCAATCCCCTCATAACACTTCAAACCAGTATGACCGCTCCGAACCAACCCTCTGCAATGCGATCCAGTTCTTGAAACTGCCGAAAAAATCAGCAGCGCTGGTGATCCATAGCATATTTAAGATCCAACCATGTAAAATTAAATGCGGCAAGGTGAATGTAATGCCTTCAAAACCATTCTTACTTTCCCGCAATGGACAATTAAAAAATGATTTAATTGTTTTCGAATTGACGAGCACAATTTGCGTGAGTCATGCTTTCCTATAACGTTATCTAGAAAACTCTATCTATTTTCCGCAACGTGGCGTGACATGTACCAAGCTTAATCATAGAGGAAAAGGAGGAGCTGTCAAATTAGCACCAGAGCACCAGAGAAACTTGGCTTCACTCGAGTTGTTCGCAGATGACAGGCGTTGCAGTCCTGTGCTCCGAACACTTTGATAGTATAAAATAGAGTCCTATAAGAGAGGGAGAGAGAAACACGAAGACAAATAAAATAACTGGAAAAATGATGCTATTTTTTCACACGAACTAGCAACCATAAACGTTGTTCACACCTTGCACGACTTACCATTTTTTGTTGTATATTGTTGTTCTTGGAATGACTTGAAGTTTGAGTTCAAACGTTTCAGAATATGTTTTGACGATGATTCTTAATTTATTTTCACACGCTCTAACTCATCTCCTTACAATTTACCAAGCCATAGTGCTAATCCTATTCAAGATAGTTTTGTTTCATTGAAATATTATCGTATTATTTTTCGGGTGATATCAATACTACAATCTAATTAGAATTGTCTTTTGCTCGATTGACTGCACTTATCTGACAGTTCCATGGGCTGCAGATACGATTTCTCGCTTCTCTCTCTAATAGGGTTCTAGTATAAAGGTATCATCATTCAAAATAAAATTAAAAAAACGACGAAGATGAAGAAAGTCAAATTGATGAAGTTCAAAATGTTTTGCCTAAATAAAAATAAAAAAAAACTCAGGGAGGCTAGCAGCCTGTCAAAATCAGTTAAAGAATCATTATTTGAAATATTTCCAGACTACTCGAAATATGTTCATAAGGGAACATTCATAAATGACGCAGCATATTTTTGACAATTCATTCATTCGCGTGAACAGCACATACATTAAATTACAATGCTCGGTAGCTTAAAGATTACCTGCACGAATGTACATCCCGCTTAGATTGTGATTCTGCTCGTACTCTCGAAACTAGCAGCAATAAAACGAAACAGACGAGAAACTGAAAGAATGTGAAAAATGTTCTCTACCTAGTGTAGACAGCAAGTGAGCTAAAACTTGAAAGCAAATTATCATCTCTCTTAGCGCTTACTCACTTAATGTTAGTAACGAATGAACGACTCAGCATGGAAAAAGATTCATCCTGACTACTACAATTATGAAAAAAAAAATTAAGTTCCAAAATTAAAAGCATCCCTTCCACACTCATAAAATTCCATGCTCACTGTAGCTGGAGCAACGACACGTACCACACTTCAGACCTCGGTTAATCGGATAAAATTATCGCGATTTGCATTCACACCTCACACCACCTCCGTTGTTCATTATTTTTGGCGCCCATTTTTTTTTCTCATTCAGTCGCGATTATAAGATTATGAAATGTCTATTTGATTTGGAGCGGAGAGCCTCGCCCCTACCATTTAACGACGATGAAACCTTTTCAAGCTATCAAGTCACGTTTCTAATTATTCCGCTTTCTTTTCTGGTCTCTCTCTCTTCCCCAGGTTTCGCCGGTGTGCCGAAAAAGATGCATTGCCTGTTCCAGTCGCCGTCGAGTATCGCAATTTGTACTAAACCTAAATGGAGCAACTGTCGTCCGAACAAGCCGCCAACGAGTAAAAAGATTGTCTCCACCGAGCAAGCCGCAAACGATACTTTTAGCAGAAAAGCATTCCAACTGCAGCCATCAGTATGGCCCGATGTCCGCAGGTCGTCCTGATATTAACCGTGTTGCTCCTCATTGTACGTGTAGCGGATCAGACAAAATGTGCCCTAACGTCGAGCTACGGCAGCTTCGGCAGCAGCTTCAACACGCCCCTGTCCGATGGAGGCAGCGGCGTGCCCGAAGCACAACTTTCATCCGAATATCCAACTTACAATGATGACAGTGAAGATGTAAATAGTTTTCTTAAAGTATTAAGCTGTTCCGATACGGGACTGCGGGCGATCAATGAAGACTATCTGCGACCGGTAAACTCCTACAAGGGGGTACTGCTTGAACGCGTCCCCGTGGAGTATCCGGAAAGTGATCACCTGGCGTTTAAAAATGAAAACTACCTGGAGGTGGTGCAATGGCGTGACAGTAACGTCACGGAAAAGCAGCTAGAGTTGACGTTCGCTAGGGAGGAGAAGAAATTCACCAACTTACTAGTGCTAGATTTAAGCGGAAACAGCCTTAGCAGCATAAGGCGAGATTATTTTAGTAAACTAGACAGATTGAAGCTGTTGAAACTATCCGAGAATCAATTATCCAACCTTCCAAGTGATATTTTCTATGACTTAATAAACTTAGAAGAGTTGCAGCTGCAGCAGAACAAACTGGTCGAGATTGTACAGGGTCAGCTCCGGCCACTGAGCAGGTTGCGGATGCTGAACCTTTCGAACAATACCATTCACGATCTTCCACGGAACATTTTCAGCGGACTGAACAACCTTACCGAGCTGTACATGTCCAACAATCGGCTGTACGTGGTGCCATTTCAGATCTTCAAAGAGCTACGCGCATTGGAAATACTAGATGTTTCCAAAAATATGCTCGTTTCGTTCCTGGATAATTTCTTTCTCGCTAACAAACAGCTACGCGTTCTAAGACTGAATAACAATATCATCGAGAAGATCTCGAAGAATGCCCTGTATGGCCTTAGGAAACTTCAAATTTTGGATCTCTCCTCAAACAAGCTGGTATTCATCGATCGAAATGCCTTCGATACGCTGGAAGATCTGAGACACCTGAACATCTCCAATAATCAAATTTATATCCTTCCTTCAATGGTATTCTCCGCGTTGAAGAGTGTCCTATCTATTAATCTGAGCAACAATGTGATGCGAACGTTACCAAACGCAATATTTGCCGGCCAGTTCAAGCTGGAGCGGCTATATCTGGATGGCACCAATCTGGAATCGCTTAGCAACTGGGTTTCGCGTCACAACAATACAATCAACAAGGAAATCCTTCGCAATCTACGCTACTTATCGATCCGCAACAATACCCGTCTGAAGGAGATTGAACCGTGCGTGTTTCGAAACGTCCCGCACCTGGAAACGCTACTGTTGTCCAACAATAGACTGACAAGCCTGCCGAAGGAGATCGGCGAGCTAACGAAACTGCGATACCTAGACGTCGCCAACAACGACATCATGTACATCCCGGAGCAGATCCGGAACCTGCACAAGCTGCAGCAAGCAAATTTCCTAAACAATGACTACGGTTGTGACTGTCACATGTACTGGATCCTGAGCTGGATCGATGAACTGCAAGCGGAGAACAATACCCAGAAGATCTACGATCTGCTGAGTCTGTCGCAGCTCAAGTGCCGCAATGGCTACCCGGGTGACATCATCCGAGTGTTGCAGCATATCAATTGCTTCAAACCTGAACTACTAGAATCATCGGATAGTAAGATGCACTTGCTCAAGTCGGATGCCGTGCTGGAGTGTGTGTTCACCGGGAATCCCCCACCAGATATCATTTGGATTACGCCGACGAACGAAATCCTGCGGCATAGTCAAGACCACGATCAGAAGTCGTTGCTGTTTGAATCATCGAGTGAAACTATGTCGCACAAGTACCAACAGGCGGTGGAGTTCCAGATACTCACGGCGGACAACCTAACTGGTGACGGGGCGCTGCGGGATAACATCGGCATGGGTATAACGTTGCTGGAGAATGGCTTTTTGAGAATACACAACATCTCCCGGAGGGACAGCGGATTGTACACGTGCTACGCCCTCAATATAATGGGAAATGCCACCGCAGGAATAAGGTGAGTTTATTTCAATGTTTCTATAAACCTAAAAAGCGACCTTCAGTCAAGCGCAACAACTACATATTTGTTGTCGCTCGCCCAACATTATGCAATATTACAGCGTTTCAACAGCTCGGCTTGCAGAAGCAGATTTGGATGTTTGCCATGCCGAAATATCGACAGCTCGGGCCGCGCCAATGCGGTTCCATTGTGAAATATCATCCAAACAATAAACCTAGTTAGAAAACGGCACAACTCTCAATGCTCTGCCAGCAGCATGGACGAACCGGTCATTGGTCCCTTCGGAATCGATTTAGAAATTATATCTACTGGTGTTCATAGGTATATAGAAGACCGGCGACGTGAGCCAGTAGAAATGTGTAGGTATGTTGAAAAATGCCACTATCATGATAGTCGTCGTCAACGAGAGCCGGCGAAACCATCAACGCCATCATAGTGAGTGGAGAACCTATAACTATGAGCGGTTTGTTTACGGCCGAAACGTTCTCGACCGATCCAAGAATGGCAGGAATGGAGGAAAACAACAATCTACAAAAAACCCATATTCTGGCTAAAAGGAACGCGGGTGGTCATGGAGAGCCGTCCGGTATAAACTATCTAAAAGGGACTGGATGTTATTCTGCTTCGTCACTCCAACCCAAAGGTGCCACCCGCGCTTTTGTTTTTATAGGCTCTCTTTCGGTCTTTTGAGAGCAGAAAAATGCCCATCATTGAGTAACTAAAAGTTGGCGAAAAATTTCATCCAACTGTACTTTGCTCCACGTTGCTACGGTAAACCAATTTCAACTTTCAGCCTTATGCTTTGCGGTTTTGTTGGATGCAATGTCCAGTTTGTTAACTCTGTGGCAATGGAGAAAATGGGGGAAAAACTTGAAACCGCTTGAATGCAAACATGGTGACGAGCTCGTTTCACAGTTCACCACTTGGCAAAGTTTTCCGACGACGATGATTTGCATACTTTGGCAACATAAGTACTTGATTGGCCAGCACGTCTAGCGATTAGACAGGTATATCAATTTCAATCGATATACGTTTGGATCGTCAATGGCAAGGTCGCCCAAGTTTGATGTGGCAAGTGACAACCTAAGAAGATATTGATGTTTTCTTTCTTTAGGATAATGCTTTCTATTGAGTGTGTGTCTTGAGGAAATTGAAAGGCTTTCCTTGTTGATGGAAATGGCATATTGGGGTTGAATGTCGGTGTCGAGAAGATTGTTGAGAATTTGCATGATGGAAAACGGCTTGCATAGTTTTATGGCTGACGTGCGCTAAATATAGAATAGAAGCTAAAAGGCTTTTTGAAAGTTTTAAGAATACTCAACTGATACTAAAATATCGAAAATTTGAAATTCGCATTTCAAGCTTATAGTTTACCGCATATTAGCTTATTTTGTGCTCTCAACTTACTGTGCACTTCCATATTTATTAATTGAGAGCTTTCGATACGTGTATCATTTTTGCATTAGTATAATTGTGTGGCAAGTTACAATCATTAATGTCCAGGGAAGTCGAGAAATTTTCCAACCTGAAAAATCCAGCCACCTCCAGCATGGTCTTGCTTTGTAGCTGCGTCTTTTCCAACTGAGCTAAGGAAAGCCCGCATTGGTTGCATGACAACTGAAACAGGCTTAAAAAGTGTTGATTTTCGTATGAAAAAGAAAGAATGCAATTCCAGAACAACATGTGAAAAGGACATACAAGCTTTTTGTAAACAAACCTTCTTATGCCCTTTTCTCGCCACCCATATGACACCAACGCAAACCTTCAACATCACCGGGTAGGGGACACTTTCCCCTTCCCGATGATATTGCTTGTTTGCGTGGGCGATTCTCGGTTGGCGAGAAAAGGGCCTACAAAGGTTTGTTTACAAAAAGCTTGTATGCCCTTTTCACATGTGGCTCTTGAATTACCTTTAACTATTAACGTATTGAGCAAAGCTTACGTTGTATGTACGTTAGTAGGATTGTGCTACATTAGCCCCGAATGTCATTACCCCGAACACCATCCTTGTAGGCGGCGCTCAGCGATGTGATCGCGGTGGTTGCAGTAATCCAACTTTTCGAAAAACCGAGTTTTGTCTGTTCCGCGCTTGTCTGTATCGCTCCACATTCAATCTCGTGCGGTGTTGCAGCATTCTCGCCCGTGCTGCATTCTTCTCCTGTACTAACAGTTTGCATTCGCCGTCAAACCAGTCATTTCTTCGGTTCGGGATCGCTGACGCAATACTACCTATGGCGAAATGGATGTCCCTCCAGCCATCTTCAAGGGTAGTTGCGCCAAGCTGCTCTTCCATGGGTAGCGCAACTTCCAGCTGCTGCGCGTAGTCCTGGGTAAGTCCGGCGTCTCATAATTGCTCATTGTTGGATCGCGGCGTTCGACTTCAACGGGTGTTATGCACAGTCGAGAGTTTTGAGCGCATGCATACTGCAACTGAGTAGTGGTCCGAAACTATGTTCGCACTGCGATAAGTGCGGACGTTGATAATGCCGGAGAAGAAAATCCCGTTGATTAGAACATGATCGATTTGGTTTTCTGTGTCTTGGTCAGGTGAAATCCAAGTGGCTTTGAGGATATCCTTGCGGGGGAAAAGGTACTTCGGACTACCATAACACGGGAGACTGCAAAGTTCACGCATCGTTGGCCGTTGTCGTTCGATACGACATGCACTGCCGGTAATCGCAAGTCAGTCCCATCTGCATTTTTATCAATTTTGAGTTAGCAACATTATTCAGTTTATCTTTCTATGTTTTTTGAGATGTGCTATTGAAAAAAGGTGGTTTGTTCAAGAAAAATGAAAAACAATACCAAGTCAAATTGTCCCACAGCGAAAAGTAACCGCAAGTCAGTCCCATTAAAAAAAAACTATGTTAGAAATGCTAGACAACACGTTGCATCATGAGATTTGTGTCAAGACCAGGGGTTGAAACAGTTGGCGTTTTTTACTACACTCACTTCGTTGTCGTGCGCGACAGTCTGTTTGTATTCGAACACTCATGCTCTACCGTCGTCTCTCTCACCACAACACGAGCGGTAGAATAACATTCGAGCTAAAAGAAAATAATCAAAATAGCTATCATTTGACATGTGTAATTTCGTTGTAATTCCTCAATTTGGTGTAAATCAAACCATTTCTGATCAGAAATATTATTACTAGGACATCATTGCTTGCTATTTTCAGAATTCACACAAACACAACATCAGCAGCTCTTATTATGAGAAAAACTAAAATACATACATTGGTGACGGTCTTCGGCGACAGTGTCGTATGACAGAGCCTGTTATATGACATTTTAGTTTGGTACTGTACTATGATAGCTTGTTTTGCAAGTGTCAGAGGCAAAGGCAGTCAATTATCACAGAAAATGTGTCGACTACCGTGACCGCTTACAAGACTGGTCAAGACAGATTTTGTCCACTTCCCCTAGGGTATCTGGAACATGTCCGGATGTGGCCAATATAGTTCTTACGATACTCAGTTTGACCGCCAATGGATATGGCTTTGAATTATCATGTGATTTATGATGGATTTTGATTTAAAAAGGATTTACCACTTCCCCGGGGATACCCGGAACATGTCCGGGTGTGGTCAACATGGTGCTGGTCAGTCATCGTGACTCTTATTGATCTCATTTTTGAATTCTCATGTGAATTGATTTATCGCATGGTGGGTTTGGCACGTTTATGAAAAGCTCTAGTCTGATGAAGACCCATACTCACCGGAGTATGTTTCGGCCATTGCTCTGGAACCAGCGCAACAAATCCAGAAACATTCAATAACGTTCTATGGGACCATGGTATCTTACTACTGTTCAATACTATGTTAAACTACTGTAGCATCATCATGGAATTGTGACTGACTTGCGGTTATTTTTATCATTGACGTTAAATGTAATCGCAAGTCAGTCCCACTCAGATTTTGGCCCGATTGCCGGTCTATATATTGCCTCCCGTCCTACCTGAGCGTTCATGTCGCCGGTGACGATTTTGACGTCCCGTAGCGAACAGCCATCGTACACCTGCTCCAGCTGCGCATAAAACGCTTCTTGATCGTCGTCGGGTCTCTCTTCGTGTGAGCAGTGCACGTTGATGATGATGTAGTTGAAGAAACGGCCCTTAATACTCAGCTTGCACATCCTCGAGTTGATCGGCTGCCAACCAATCATGCGATGGTGTATCTTACCCAGCACTGCAAAGCCGTTTCCCAGCTCGTTGGTTGTTTAGCAGCTCTGGTAGAAAGTAGCCGCTCGATGCCCGCTTTTCTATACATTGTGTCCCGTCCAATAAAGTTGTTCCTGCAGTGCTACGACTTCGAAGATGCGTGGATGAAGTTCGTCACTTATCGCAACCCGGGATGCCGAGCGATTTGCAGTTCCATGTTCCGAGTTTTCAACCGTAGTCCTTATTTCGTCCCGTTGGTCTGTGCCGATTGTTCCGATCCGTATTTCTTTCTTCAGTATTTGCAACTTTATATTTTTTTCCAGGGCGGCTTGTTGAAACTGCCCCAATCCCCTGTCTCGCCGGGAGACCATCATGCACAGCTCTGTTTAGAGTACCATGCTGGCACTAGGGCGGTGATCAGTCGCTCCTAACATGGAGAACTGACGCCGTTTTGAGCCACACCTCCATGGTGAACAGACGCTCGGGCTTGGTGAAGCATTTCCTCTATCACCGTACGATGGTTATCGCGCCAGTGTTCGCGTCGCACTTTTTCACTTTGCTATTGCCTAACTGGCAGCATTGCCCAGCTGTGTTCACGTTTCCAAATATAGCCGGCATAAAGTTGGCTACCCGAAATCGGTCTACTAGATTGTTCCATGGATTGGTTTTTTATACAAATGGCTTAAGCGCCACCTCCATAGAGGACCACTTGTCGTTTCGGATGCCCGGCAAACTCAAAACCCCAGGGCGAGTTCAGTCTAATGCAAAGGATTGCAATGCGCTAGTAGACGTTGCGTACTTGGGATTCAAAAGAAAACACTAAATCCAACCGAATGAAAACTAACCAGAAACCGTCTTTCTACCGGAGCGAAAGCACTGGACAACCTGTTCTCACCACAGGTCAAGCTATTCCCCAAACACAAAATCTACACGCTTCATGACAGAACTGCTGGTAGTCTTTTGTTATCATATGACTCGGCAAAGCGTGAAGTAGGAACAAGTGAGAACCAGAGCTAGGGATCCCGCTCCTTTCATGTTGTCAACTCACCATTTTGTAGCCCGAATGCGTACTTTATAGTCATTATTGAGTAATTTGCGGCTACCGTGAAGTAGTGTTTCCATTTCCCTGCCATTTTTGGCTACTCGGGAAACGGGAAATAGATGATGTCTGCCTCTGAGAGTTATTCATCAAAATGTAGAACGATTTTATAAGTATGAAGTAATGTAATATTTGGATGCTAATCCAAGTTTGAACAGTTTAATAGTTTTGCATCCAATTACATTTTAATATTTTTGTATCAATCAGAAACAAATTACGAGCTTTTGACCCAGAAGATAATTCCGAATTCGCTCAGAAGTCACTTCTACATTTCCTGAAAAGTTTCATCTGATTTCATCGGAAACTTATTCCATAATTTTTTCTCGCTTCCACGAACCTTCTTTTGACTACCGCTAAAAGGTTCATCAAACTATTGAGGAAAAATTAGCCTCCCCTCCCCCCTTGCATCACGTTTTTCCTATACCTAATGCAGTGTTTGTCACAAATCCCCTTCCTTCTTAGAGCGTGACGTAATATATGGATCACCCCTATGGTGAACATTTTCTACAATCAATCTTGGACGTTCCTGTATTTCTCATTACACGCTATGAAGATATCCCTATCGGATGTAAACAACATTCTATTATTAATTACTTTATTGATTTCATAAGAACATGTTCAAGTTCGCTTACACCAAAAAAAAAGCCCGCTACGACGGTACATTTAATGAGTGCCACCCATAGTGTTGAGAAGCTCCAAATTGGGTTCAATGGTGGGTATGAAATTTGGTTTTATTACCCCGAGCAAATTTTCGTCAGCGGCAAAACCTCAATCAAGTCATGGAAACGAATGTCGACATTGAATGGTGTTCTTCATTTGGTTGGAATTATTATTCTCACTATGATTAACATCAGTCGTTGTGACGACGACTGGCAGACTGCTGTGAGTTTCATTATCGGAAAATGTCTGTTATGAGTAATGGAAGGCGCAACACATTTTCATAAAAGGCTATCGATGTTGTTAGCCATGGGAATCATCACCCTACATAATGTATGAAACGGTTTTTGTCCCGTGTTTGGACAGAATCATATACTTAGATAATTTGTAGAATAGATCATATGTGTTGCGACCGTGCTTAATATGAAAAATTGGACAGATTTAAATGAATTAGTTTTTGAAATTCTTAAATATAGCAATATTCCAAATTAAAGCAAGGACAATGCACAAACATGATGTAAATATCTAAGATAAGTAATAAATGGGAGCAAACTGTAAATTCAAAGATTGTGGCATAACGACAACACAAAACACAGGCCACAAAACCACCATCAGCTCCTCGGTTGCAGTGGCTTGTGATTTTCAAAATTTACTACACTTTTCTGCATATCCCTGCTGCATGATGGCCTCATCCCTTGTCGGTTGAACGATCAGCCTTGAGCTGTGCATTTCCATCCAAATTACAAGAGCGCAATTTAGATGCAACGAAAAAGCTTTGCTTTCACCGCCATCGTTGCAATGTTAGTGCAGTAGCGCTGCTGCAACCGTTGCACCAAACCAACCAACCCCGCCGTTGATAGTGAATGAATAATTTAGTGAAGTATCGACGTGCTTGATTTTGATTGGCAGTTTGCCTCCATGTTGCGACTATAACAACACCCTTAAGTAAACCGTACATACCAACCTAGAATAACGTATGCATTTCTCAATTTCCCACAACAGACTATACATCGACCCCATCGTGTTCTACCGTGTGAAGATTGGCAGCATCATTACCGGGGCCATCTCAGCCGCAATGTTCCTAGCGCTGACGCTGATCTTCCAGGGTATCCGCCGGGTGTTCATCCGATTCCGCATCATCGATCTGATCTGCCAGAACTGCTGCAGCTACTGCTACCGAAGCGACAAGAATTCCTCCAAGGCACGGCAAATCTACGCAATGCTGGACAACATCGAACACTACAAGAGCCAACAGTTGGAGCGGCTGCGAGAGAATTACACTCAACAGGTACGTGTATTGACTGACCAACTGAAGTAAGCCGATTAACTAACTGCTTGCTTTCAAATCGAACAGGTCCACCGCATCAAGGATAACTGCACCCAGCAGGTCGAGTGGATTCAGGATGGCTACAGTACCCAAGCCAAACATTTACGAGAGATCCGTGACATCGGTACGCACCATCTGACGACGCTGAGGGATCAATATTACGATCAGGTAAGAACTAAGCGCAAAAACCAACGCAAAGCTATGTAAGAAACATCAGCCACCAACACGCGAAAGGTATGACTATTTCTTAAAGGCACCAATTATAACCCAATAATTTATGCAGTGGAAAACGCATCAGCTGCTGTTCTTTTTATCCTCCTTCTTCCAGTGGGCAGGTGACTAATGACCTCCTTAAGTTTTGGTAGTTTTTCTCTACAACATGACAACCGACACAATCCCGTGACCATCAATGTCACTGTGAGGAAAATACATTCACACCGCTCAGAGTCATTAGAGTCACCAGAAGGCATAGGGACAAAGTTTTATAAATACCCATCACACCGTGTTTGCTGGTAGGGTAACATGTGCCTCTACTAGCAACAATAGCACCGACATGCGTACGGGTTTTCAGGCTTTCGGTTTTTTTTTAAATCTCATTATCAATCGACTCCTACTACACTTCCACCGCATACGCGTGGTTTCTGTAAGGGACCATCCAGAAATGACGTAGCATATTGTTGACCAATTTTAGATCCCCCTCCCCCCTTGTAGCGTATTTTGCTATTATACCTTATACATAGCCGGTCACAACTTTTGAAATCCCTTCTCCCACCCTTAAATGGTACGTCATTTATGCATGTTCCCTAATAAAACGAATGTTTAAATTTAAATTTTCGATTGCACAGGTGCGACGTGTCCGGGACTATTCGACTAGCCAGCTGAACTGGGTCCGGGAGAATTACGTTTTCCAGCGCAACAAGATCCGCAAGTTCAGTGCCCACCAGGCGCTGAGGCTTCGTGAGGGCTACAAGTACCAGCAGCAGACGCTGAACAAGGTCCTGGAAAATCTGCCCAGTTTCTACTTTGAGAACTGCCGGGGCCGCAACGAGGACGATGAGGATTTTGAAGGTGAGTTTGAATTTATGGTTTTTCGCCTAGTGCTGCCGGCTACGAATGCAAAATGCTGTGCTGAGTGTTTTCCGGACAATGTTGGGGATAAAGGTTAATCCGATGTTAGTGTAACATAATTTTTAGTTTTGTTTGTGCCTTTGAACAACTCCCTGTTAACCCCCCCCAACGTGCTTTGGATAACACTCCACCGTTTTAAGCCCAATCCCGTAGTTTTCCCCTCATCCATTGATGCATTTGTTTCCTGTTAACACATCTACTGCGCACCATCTTCGTTACGATTCGGTACCTAATGCGCAAAATAATCCTCGAACTCGTACAAAATGGCTACGTGTGCTCCCAGTGTATACAGTAATTTCGGAAGACAACGAAGCCTACCGGATGTGGGAACAAATGACGAAGCTGTGATTTGAGCAAACCTAGATCTTACACTTAACAACCATAACAACAACGGCACGGAACAATCACCAATCACAGAGGACACTTCTTGGGACGGCGTCGATGGCGGAAAGCTCTGTTTAGTTGATCGTAACTTTCTCTCTAAGTATGAGTTTTACTGTTTTTTTTTTCTTCTACTGTGTACTACTATCCCAGACAACCAAATACATACGGAAGCAATGAACGTTTTAAATATTAAGTCTCTTAAATTGCATGCAACTAATCGTAGATAATGCAATGTTTCAAAATCGTAAGATATTCAGTATCGTAGAAACGAACATTTGGTTGTCGGGGACAGGTTTCGGGTGGGACGTTTTCCATCATTTATTGATTGGTACCCATTTTCATCGCATCGAAAAGCAGAGGTGTATTATTAACTGGCTGTAATAATTTATTAACCAACTTTGTGGGACATTTCAGTTCAGTTTGTCCTTATTCCATGTGTCATGTTTCGTTCGAGGAAAAGTTTGATTGGCTTGATGATTGTGTGTGTGTGTGCGTGTATGCGTCGACGATGATGGTCGGTGGTGCTAAATTGCGTACATGAAAAGGAAAGCTGATCCTGTCCACTTTGTGTGTTTTCCGTCTCTCTGGTGTCAATGATGTATGCTTCATTTAATAGACTGCCGCAGCAGCTCTGGTGGTTTGTTATTTTCGATTTTCCGCTTGGACAGGCGGAAAAGGTGTCCGGTGTGTTCTTTTTCATTCTCTGTATTTGCTACGTGTGTGTATGTGTGCGAATTTTATTCTCGGTGGTAAAGGTTACCATTCATTTTGTCATCGCTTCTTGGATTACATGGTTCAATGGCCTCAATAACTACTGTCATTCTGTCTACTGTGCTAATGGTTGAAATGAAAGATATAATAGTCATCAGAGTTTAAAGTTCAGTTCTCGATTCGATCGTTGATTTTTTCTAGTGACTGAGATTTCCTCATAAACAATTAATTTTCCATTGCAATGGTAGGTTTAAAAAGCTTTCATCGTGAAAATCTGTACTGCCGGTGGACGCATAACTGTCGTCTCAGGTTGTAGGTCATTTGGTCTAAAGTCGTTTGGCATAATGGTCGAAGCACTTCATGTATCGCAAACGTTTATGGGTATGTTTTTGTCGCATTCGTTATACATTTTACTTTCTCGGTCTCCAAAAAATGTTTTTCGTGCTAAAATTGCTTTCGAAGCATTTCTCAAAACCTCTCTACCAGGCAGCCAGAGCCCTCTTATCGAAACTTCTTCATCAAAATCACTTCGAGATTCCTATAAAACCAGGAAAAATTTCCATTACATTACAACATTTTTCAAGCTTTTTGAAGTTATTTCACACCCGGAAATACAAACGGAAAGCCATGACAGTAAAAATTAACAGTCCGCCGACACTCAGCAATCATAAACTGTCAATATGCTAGGCTTAAAAAGTCAACTTTTATACGATCATGTTACAGAATCAACTTTGATGTGCATGCAATCTGGTTGTCTGGGTTTTCAAGATTTCAGAACTTGAAAAAACCACGAAATCGAGATAGAATTAAGATTCTGTTACTTAAAGGATTTTCCGGAATCTCGGACTAACAACAAATCAGAATTCTATACCTGCTTAGGAAAAAACAGGATTCCATAAATTATACAACCAAACAACCACACTGCATGTATATCAATGTTGTTCTTTATGACATGGAAGCATAACAAATCATAGGGGAAATAGCTCTAATGTTTGTCTAATGGATCTAAGATTGGACCCATCGCTAAAAATCTACTATTTATCAATTTTATCTAGATGAACGCGTCATTGGGACGGTACTAATTGATATTTTTGGTCGCTATTGAAAATTTAGTCGATTGCTGAATTTATGAATGGGCCTAAATTAGGGGCATTTAGACCGACATTACATCCATTTCCCCTATATAATGCAAAAATCAGGGCTGGTAGAAGGTCACTTTTTAGTGACTTGGTCACTATTTTGAAGTCAGTCACTAAAGAGTCACTTTTTACACCAAAAAGTCACTAGAGTCACTATTTCCTTAAAAATAGTCACTAAAGTCACTTTTTCACTACTAAAATAAAGTAAAATTTAAAAATATCAACAAAATGTTGAAATTGAGTACTTGGCACTAAGCAAGTCTACACAGTAATTTTAACAAGATATACATATCTGTTAAAAAATTGAAAATTTTAACCAGGGTGACCAGTGAACCGCAAAACTTTAGACCACCAGGAAAACTATTGGGAAGTGCCTTCAATTTCGATTAAAAATTGGGTAAAATATACCACATTTCCCTGAAAATTCAATTTCTATTAAAAATCGGGGAAAATATATCTCCTTTCCCAGAAAACAAATTGTAAACCTTGGAAACTTTCCAAATGTATTGTGATAGATTTTCAAAAGTCTTTCAATGATGATTAAGAGCATTAAAACATCCAAAGTAAATTTTAAGAGTATTTTAAAGGATTCTAGGGATGACACCAAGATATATCAGATTAGAATACCCAAGTACAGACTACGAAAGTCTTATGTAAAATTAAGTGCTCTGAGGACCGATTTCTTCATCTGCGCTTAAATTTTAAGCCAGGTTTACCTATATAGTTAAACTTGGCTTAACACATAAGAGCGTCGCTTTTGATTAATGTTTAAATTATTAGAGACACAAAATTCAGCTCCGACACAATTTTGCAAATAATTCCAATATAATTGAGAGTGCATTTTAACGAGAGTTCTGAGAAGAATTATATATATGATGACTGGATGAGGATTCTAATAAGAATTTTAATAGGAATTCGAAATTAGTTCTGAAATTTGGCTTAATGAACTCTGATGAAAATTCAATGAACTCCAAAGATGGTCTCTGCGGATCGTTCTAAAAGAATTCTGGGTGATTTTTGATGATACTTCCAAGAGAATTCTAAAGAGTTCGAAATAAATTCCTAGAAAATGGATTTGAATTTAGATGGTTCAAACTCAAAGAAATTTTGAGAAGAGTTTCAAAGTTATTCTGTGATGGATTTTTGTTTTGAGAATTCTGAGGAAATACTATGGGAATTCTAAGGAGAATGAATGCAGGGGAAAAGTCTAAGATTATTCTAAGCAGAAATTTATTAAATTTCTGAGGTTAATTGCATGGAAATTCTAAGGAGCATTCAAATAAATTTAAAATAGATTTATGGAAGGAGCCCTTCAGGGAGTTCCTAGAAGAATCAACAAAAAATCGTTGAAGATGCTAATTTCGAATAACAGACTAAAGTGGTAATTTGTATACGATAGATGAGGAGATGAAAGTATAGAGTTGATAGTTCCGTCAGAGAACGGCAGTGTAAAAATTGTATATACAAAGTAAAAAGCGTGTAAAGGACGATTTTGAGGAAGGTACGAATCGGGTAGTTGTTTACGTCAGATGGCGACTTGAGTGTGAAACAATCGATAGAACTGTTTCGGCACATCGGAGGTACATGAGCAAATCCGCGATCATCCCTTTTGCCAGTGGTGGTAGGGGGAAACACCCCTCACCATGCCTCATTAACGGATGAGCTTGGTAAAGAAGATAAGATGCTCTACTCGATTCGTACATTCCTCAAAATTGTCCTTTGTTCGCTTTCTACTTTCAATATACAAATTTCACACTGCCTTACTATAACGGAACTATCAACTCTTTACTTTCATCTCCTCATCTATCGTATAAAATGTCCACTTTAATTGTGATATTTGATGTTAAGCATTTCCAACTACGAAAATAATCTATTTCCAAGAATTTTGTTGATTGTTCTGCAAAGAATTTCAAGAATGCAATATTATTTTTGTAAAAGTTTGTTTGCCTCTAAGTTTAAGAGATGGGACATTATTCTAAAAAAAGCTTTTTTTTACTTCAAAAGTACTTCACATGAGATTCCGTTGTAAAATTCGATTTATTTAGAGGAATTTATGAAATTTGATTTTAAGTTCCATGACATTATAAGTTTTTTTTTTCAATAAACCGTATTTGAATTTCTTAGTTACCATATAAATGGTTACTTATTAAGTATTTACAAGTCACTATTTCCGTAATTTTAGTCACTAAAGTCACTACTATTATATCGCATCAGCACTACCAGCCCTAAAAAATGGCTTGTACCTACAAAAGTGGAGGCCAGAAACGTTCGAATATAAAATAATGTTGCAAGCGATTCAATTTTAATCATATGCTCAGGGGAATCAAAAACAACTGGGAAAAACCGGGAATTTGATTGGAACCTTAAAATATGTTTCAACTTTTTGTTATTACCGTGCAACCATACTTTGCGCGGTTCCTAATAATTGCGCAACCTTGTATTTTTAATTGTATCTCGATTTTCACGAGATGCTTTCGATAAGTTAGTTAAACTTTCATCGCTAGAGCCCGGAATCTAATGTTTCCAGTGGTAATTTTATGGAAATATTGATGACAGAGTCAAACTGAAAACTAATCATAGTCAGAGAGTGATTAATTGATTGGGTTGATCTAAATCTATGGAGACAATTCTAAAAGTGTAGGTTACTCGTGCGCTGAGTGACCTACGGTTTTATAAATTTCTCCATACGAATGTGTAAAAGTGGCT